ATTCTGATTTGCAGATATTATATATGTGCATGCCCGCATAATGTTTGTCGCAACTCAAAATTATTTTCGATGCAGATAACAAAAAAAATATTATTTACATTTCCTACGGCCGTCGATCTATAATTATATTCATGAGATAAGTAAAAAGCATGCAATCGAAGAATAATTGCATGCATTTAAGTCGGTGTTAAGATAATTGCTCCACATTCTTAGCGAGAAATTACATGTAATCATAATAAATGCGCTTTCTTATGCATTCTGGCGCTTTACACGGGTACGCGTTGTTTATGCTCAGGGTTGAAAAACATGTTTTTAAACATGCAGTGACAGTGTTCAACATTGCTGTACTGACTACGACAAACAACCTCATCTATTTAATGGCCGTGTGTAAAAAAAGTTCAATAATATATGGCATTGCAGCCTTTTATTTTTTTTATTTTTCATTCACTGCGATATTACTTGGTTAAGGCCTATTCATACTCAGCCGTGACGTGACAGTGCTGTGACCGGCACGTGATCCGCCCGGCGAAACTAAAAACATTCTTCCTGGAATTTGAATGAACTGATTCACACAAGACAGGCACGTGGAAGTGCGCGTACATGCCGTGCTGTAGAACCAGTCAAATTCAAAATACAAGGACTTCCGTTGTCTTCTCGTTTCTTCTTCTTCATCTTTCGTCGGTGGTAGACGGTCTATGACTGTCGAACGTGGAGGTACCACCCGGTGGATCTAGTAGGCGGGGCCAGAATGTGTGCATGTTGCATGCACACGTGTTCCCTCGCCAGAATCCGTGTGGTGTCCCCTCTTTCCTCTATGTTTCCCCCTATAGCACCACGGTACCCCATGGGTGTTTAGACCTTAGACCTCCGTGGTAGTTGGAGTAAAAAAATTTCCAGAATTAATGCAATAATTGCAAGTTCATCCTCTGAAAATTTTGACATCTCGACCTAACGTGAACACAACTGCGCTATCAGAGCACGGAAAAAATACTGACCGGTGTGAATTGAAACACTGTGAGCTCACGTCACCGAGAATCACTGGCACGTCACGGCACGGCTTAGTGTGAATAGACCTTTACTCTGACTAGAAGTTGAATTACGTCCTTGTTCAGAAATATCAGCAAAATAAGTGTTTCGTTCGGTCAGCTTGAGCAAGACAAATACTACTTTTTGGCGTTTCGTAGATTTGTCATTTCAATTCGTTTCAAGCGACAAGTTGCTAAATTGATCCCTTTTACAAAATTATTATTGATAACTACAATCCCTCAACTCAAGGTATCTTGAATCCTTTACCTAGCCGCAGCCATAAGCCATAATATTGTTATCTTAGATCCAGTCATATTAGGGGTTTCAAGTCTAAATGACAGATAGTAAGAGCTGTAAACTCATAGACGCCTTTATTTTGTCGTTCTAAGTGCCGATTTCACCAACACTAATATTATGGACCAATGGGAAAATACCTTATCGAAATGCAATTTGACGGAAGCTGTCAAAGGTCTCTGAATATCAGTGATTTCTATTGAAATATTGAATAAAATCGTGAAAATTCGACTGTATTATAAACAAGACCACTTTTTGATTCCAACATGATGCTTTTGTATAGAAAAAACAGGACAACTTTCATGTATTTTGATATATGTTATAGGTTTACATTTAACAATCCGTTATCCGGTCAGCGAATGGGAATGCGGCAAATAATAGGTCGATTTTCTAGCTGTTAAATTTGGCAGCGGATTTGGACGTTTGATAATGCATGGCACTCTCGAATTTCCAAACTTCAATATACTGAAAGTTATCATTACATACCTGTTGAATAGTGTGGATTTGTCTGTATTTTGCAAGAAAATAGAATATAAAATACATTCCATCCAATCCCTCATCTTCCTTTACGTCATAATAGTAATCAGTTATTAATTTATGGGTTAATGAATTTCTTCAAAGAAATACAAACATTATGTCCTCTCCATCCCAAAAAAACACAGCTAATATGTGTAAGACGTGTCAATCCCTACATCTCCCTGATGCATAATGCAATTACTATGGACATAGACAAAAAAATATGAAAAATGTTTCACAGATAATGGCTTTTAAGTCCAGAAATCAAAAAAACTAGTAATGTTTATTGTTTGTCTATTTTTCTTTTTTGACTGGCGGGGATATCTATCTGACACTCGCAGGGTTGCCAAGTCTAACGACGATCACGTCCCGTGGTGGAGGGTGCGAAATGAATCTTTTACATTTGCTGGTTTTAATTTTTTTTCGTGAAAATTTACTAGGTATCATGATTATAAGCATCTTTGGTAGATTGTTCGATCCGGAATAGGAAAGATCTCCTATTTTTCTTCCTAACTTCACAAATTTGAAGATCTTGTACAATTTCTTTGAAAATGATGAAAGATATGTCTGATTTGGCAGGGTAATGTCGCAGCCAAATGGCAGTCAGTCTTTCTGACACAGTCCGGATCGAAAGATGACGATACTCGTGAAATGTATTGATACTTCTAAATATAGGATCGTATCGAACATCCCTACTGTCAAGATGTATAACCCAAGGTACCGACGGAGCTATATTGCGGCGTCAAGGAAATAATTTTAAATTTTCATTTGCATTTTTTCAAGTGTTGTGCAATGATTTTGGGAAAAATGTCACGAACAGTTTTATAAAGCATAGTAGAGTATATTTCAACAGTTGGCGGAACTTACTCCACTAGGACCAGGAGGGTGAAACAGGATATTAATGCACAATCTGGCAACCCTGTCGCACCCTCACAAATGGGCCGCTGATAACCACACAAGTCACCGTGTTGTCATTGAATAGCATGGAATTAAACCTTCAGAGTATAATATGTTTTGTGACTGGTACCAAGAGTTGACAGATCCCACACATGTTTCACTCCTTGAAATGCAATAATCAGCTGTATTCAAATAATGTCTAATATAAATATAACCTAGAATGAGTACTCGTGAAAAAAGAAAAATATGGCAAATTTGTAGTTTTTTTGCAGGTTTTAGGTTTGATGGTAGCTTTAAGGCGTATATTTGGGAATTTATTAATCGCTGTGAATATAGTGTGGATGTTTGTTCAGTTCCTGAACAACGAAAAATATTCAACTTTATGGATGTATGGATATCAAAAAACCTGAATGGTTTTGTGGGAATATCAATCTAAGGTGCCATAATGGTTCGGATGAACGGCAAGTAAATGAATGAATGTTTGGAGACGAACAATATCTTTTGGTAGAGCCTGTCATCAAGTAGGTGCTTAATGGCTATCTGCAAGAGTTTCATGGGAAAAAACACCCAGTATCACATATCAATTGAAGAAAATAATATAAACGTGAATAAAAATCAACAATAGAAATTAAAACATGAATTTAATTCAAAAATCAAACATTTCTTAAAATTGTGACTGAATTATATGTAATTTCTTAATATTCAATAAGCTGGTGATGTTTCAATGACAAGTTGTCATCTCATACTTTGACAGTATTTTGTTTTCAACGTTTCATAGCTATTGGTTGCTAAAATTTGTTGATTGGAACTTGAAGCTCATTCGCTGTATCTGATGGTCTGTTAACCTATAGGTGGAGAATAACAGACTGTTGTTGGTGAAATAGGGCCTAAAAGTGGTCTCAAATCTCGGGTCCGCGTCTTAAGATATCAAAGGTCGCAGGATTTTTTGAAATGTTTTCGGATCCTAAAGAACTAAATGCTATTTTGCTATTTGCTCTACAACTTTTATTTCAAACGTTTTTTCATACAATTAACCGTTTTTGAGATAGCGGGCGAAGCGCGCACAGCATAATGGAACGTCTACCATTAGAATCAAGTCTATGAATCGTTGAAAATGCGCATCATTAGCATTTTTCCATTAATTACTGCATTATATTTTTCATTAATCAATATACAAGGTCTGTCACAAAGTAAACAGGGCAGAGAAAAAAATAACCAATCATATACAATGTCCTTCCCAAGCAGATAAAAGATTTCGATGGCATGTGACGATAAAAAATGGTCATCGACGCTGGATTGCCTCTACGTCGGCATACCGCTGTCCCTTCATGGCCAAATGTAATTTACCGAATAGAGAATAGTCACACGGTGCCATTCAGGAGAATATGTGGAGTGGTTGATGGTTAACATGCCATTTTTTGTAATTTAATTTAGGTTTTTCGGGCTGTTGAGCCGTGGTTGGGTTGGATTTGGTCCAGAGCTTTCAGCTACATCTGCGGTAGCCATCTTCAGTGGCGCTGTCGGCGAGAGCGGAGTGCTCGGCTTGGCGGGTCGACTGAAACTGATCGGTTAACTGGATGAGCGTTCGGTTTTATAGACGATCGGCGGACTGAGGAGTGAGTTGTCTGGTGGGGGTACTCTGGGCCTCTTCTTCAGGGTCTTCTTCTTTTCTATTGAAATTATCATTGTGTTTGTAGATTTCAATTGCCTCTCTATACATTCGGGCTGAGTAGTGGGTGGATGTTGATAGGACTTCAGTTTGGTCGAACAGAACATTGTGGCCGTCATGGAGTGCGTGTTCGGCCACCGCTGATTTATCTGTTTGATCCAGTCGACAGTTTCTTTCATGCTCCTTGATGGGTGTTTGGAAGCTACGTTTAGTGGTGCCTACCACAGGAACACGGTATTCTGTATACGCCTGCACCGCTCAGGGGGTCCCTACGGTCCTTTACTGAAGTTATGAGTTGCTGGATTTTATTTTTTTTATTGTTCGATGCTCATTTTTCGACAGATGCTAAAAAGGTACTGTCACTTTGAGCGCGATAACTCCACGGGAAGTGCTTCGATTGTCATGAAATTTTGACAGAGCATCAATGAAAGATGTACCTATCCAACGCTAGTATCCGATAATAGATGGCGCTACTTGTATCGGATATCTCTCGAAAGTCCTGTTTACTTTGCGACAGACCTTGTATCTTTATATAAAATGTATGCTTTTCAAATATAAAAATTCGCAGAAACCAAATGAAGAATTCTGCCACCAACAAACTCATATACAGTACCGAGCAAAAGTGGAGAAACATTTTATTTTTTTAACGATTTTATTAAACTATTAAAGTAAACTAAACACTTATGTTTTATTATAACTTACCTAATGTAACATGTAATTCAAGGACAACATGAAAATAAAATTTCTGCTTTAATAAAACTATGATAACAATCATTATTAGAAAATACAGCGGGCAAGAATAGATAAACATAATATACAAAACAATTGTCGTATACAAAGAAGCTAACACTTAGTCGCATAACCTTTATTTTTGATAACTGCCAGACATCTTTTTCTCATAGAACCAATTAGGCTATCTATTGGTTCTTTTGGAATAGAATTCCAGGCGAATTCGATTGTTTCAAATAGTTCGGCACTATTTTTGAACGTTTCTGGATGTTCAGTCCGAATTTTTTTATCAACTAAGTCCCATAGGTTCTCTATGGGGTTGAGGCTGGACGCTGAGCTGGCCACTTAATGACATTAATATTGTGATCTGCAATTTTTTTTATTATTTTCGCTGTGTGCTTGGGGTCGTTGTCGTGCTGGAACCGTCAGCGTAGATGCATGTTTTCTTCTGTGTAAGGTAGCATGGTATCAGTTAATATTTCCAAGTATTTGTACCGGTTCAATTTTGACGATGGGTCCCATTTGAAGACCACAGAAGCAACCCCATACTCGAACCTTCCCGCCTCCGTGTTTGATTGTGCCCAAAGTGAAATCGCTGGTTTTTAGGACGTCTTAAGCATAAAATGCCATCCGATGAAAATAAATTAAATTTACTTTCATCAGAAAATAATACAGAATTCCACCTTGTTTCTGACCAGTTCAAACGATCGCAAGAAAATTGAAAACGTCTGATTTTTCTTGGAAATAAAGGGTTTTTTAGATGGTCTCCTTGCTGGTAAATCACCCTCCTTTAAACGTCTTCGAACAGTGTGGACACCAATATTTACTTCTTCAGGTTGAGCTTTTATGTCGACAGCAGTAGTAAATGGGTTTTTAACCCTTAACTACCACGGCCAAAAACAGTAACATTTATACCATGGCAGGGTCAAATTTGACACCATTGTTTTTTTTTTTCACATAAAAAATCTAATTTTGTACCTTGTTTTTATGTTAAGTTATTTTGTTTTCAACTAGTTTTACATTTTATAAAATTAAACGAATGTGGTTAGTTATAACTTTATTAAAAAAAAACTTCGGTATCCAGTGAAATTAACAAAGAAAAATTATAAAAATTTTCAGTTTTCTTGTATTCAGTGGTGAATTTTAGGTATCATAGCTGCTACCTAAAATTAAAAAAATTGATTTAGATTTCGTATCTAAAAAATGACAAGATGTTTTTGACGTTACTTTTCAGCACAACTTATGCGTAACGTCTTCGTGCGGGCATGATGTTTGCAAATAAATTCTCGACATTTATACCACAATGAGCTTTCTTTCTTTTGATTTTTATAATATGGCCATATTTTACACCTTCCCCTCCACTGGTTCCTGAAGTCCGAAAACTTAAAAAATGACACTACGTTCTCTCGGAGAACATGCTGAGCTCTACGAGTCAAATGGTCCTTAATAAGTTGACCTAAAGTGGTTAGAAATATTTTTTGCGTCTCCGCTTCAAGTTCTTTCTGTGTCAGAGCGCGTGTATTGCCACTACACCCCGCCATTTCAAATTACTCGCTACTCGCACTAGAAACGGGTCAAATTTGACCCTAAATGTGCCTAATTCTGCAGTGGTAACATATAAATTAATGGAATTTTTGTGGATCGATAAATCACCTATCGGTCGAAGATTAGCAGAACGCGCGCAGCGCGCCATAAATATTTTCGTAGCGAAACTTGGCATACAAAATGTGATTGTCAAATTTGACCCCGCCATAGTACTTAAGGGTTAGGGTCTTAGGAGGGCTTACCAACGATTTTCTGAGGCGGAACAGCTTAATAGTTTTGCAAATTACCGATCGGCTTAAATTCAGCTGTTTGGCTATGTTTGCTTATTTAATGCCTGATCGATATTTTAAAATAATCAATTCTTTTATTTACAAAATCAATGTAATTCCTCTGGCCATGTTTTTGAACTACACTTTAGCAAATACACTCAAAAATAACACTTATTCTAATCAACGACTAAATATAAACCAAATATTTACAAAATGTTTCTCTATTTTTGCTCGTTGTACAAAAAACCGACCATATTATATTGAAAAAAAAAGTATATCTGTGTAAAAAAATAAGGGGCCTACCTATAACGCTCAAAACATAAGCAAGTTTGCAGAACCCAAACGAAGAATTCTGCCAACAAAAGAGCCATATATGTTGTAGAGGCTCTATATTATTACATGTCTACCCTGTAATGCTCTGACTTTTGTAAAGCCATACTCTACATATTATGTACTTCTATGGGGCTCTACAATACATATTGCGTTTGTTGGTGGCATAATTTTTCGTTTGGGTTCAACAATTATTGTTCACTCAATCTTTTTCTACCTACAATATATTAGAATATAATTGAATAATGAATATCATTATATTAATATTTAATAAAAGTATCAATTATGCACAACTATACGTATATATTTGTTAATTATTTATAGACTTAATACGGCGTATCATTTAATGGGAATAACGCTTGACCTTGCAAAAACGGTTAACTGTATAAAAAATGTTTTAAACAAAAGTTTATTCTCTACAAAATTCATAGTAAATATCAATAGCATTAAGGCCATAGGAACAGATATCTTTGCAAAAAGACGATTTTTGTCGCCTTTGTCCTTTGATATCTTGAAACGACACGAGACTTTATGAGACTTTTGAGGCAACTTCAAGAACGTCAAAATAAAGGTTTCTACAAGCTTACAGCTCATTATCTCCCATTGCGACGTTGATTCTCCTTTATTGCTTATATAACTGGGCTACTTGAGGATTCTCATATTGTAAATAGTGGGTTTTTAGACTTTTAATGATCTCTGACAGACGAAAATTTTCATGAAATAGTAATACTGCTATATTTCAGAATGCCTTCTTCATTTTTTGTGCAATGACATCAACCATCTGCACGTTTTCGATCGCTTGCCACGGAATATCTTGAAGTATTGGGTGGGAAGCATCGTAATACTAAAGCAATAGATAACCACCCAAACATCAAAGGTAAAATAAGCACACGTTGAACAGACACACTATCTCTTATACCTCAGTTTTCTCTCTTTCTCCAACAAATGCTGTGTTATTCCTAGTATGGACCCGCTTTCACATTAGCGTGCACAAACTGAGAATAGGTGTGGCGATATTCTTATACTGAATTTCATAATCTCCTTTGATCTCTTCGTACTGCTAGTTATAATTGGTTCACATGACAAAATTTAATTTTCACATAAGTATTCGGAAGAAGGTAAAATTGCTTCCACGTTTATCGTAGTATAAAAGTATTTGATGACTTCGTTGATGACAGATAACAAGTGTGACGTCGTCATAAACTTATACTATAGATCAACTTTAAACAAGAATCTCTTCCATTTCAAATTGACACTAGGGCTTAATGTCAGAAGACATCTGTTGTCATAGCCCACATAAGTTATGGACTGATACATTACAAAAAACTGTAGATAAATGTCACGAAAGATGTCAGCAGACTGCAATGCGAAAGTAAACAATAGATGGCAAATTAGTTTCTAAAAAGGACAAGATTTTTTAATTGTTCTATATATACAGGGGGGTGTTGAGAAATTCCCTGGCTAAACTTCAATGAGTGATTTCTTGGGTAATAAAGATTGTATAAATGAGGATTCAAACTTGCGTCGCTTCCATAATATAGGATGGCAAACTTTTTTAAAGTTCGTTATTCTGTAAACGTACAACCCTTTAATCTGGTTTGCTAAGTTTTTTTGATATTTAGATGGTGTTGGCATATTGCCGAAAATTTAGATAAAGTCGAATAAAAAAAAACGTGTCAACAAAACCAAAACTTCCAAAGCAATAAACAGTTGAAAAGCAACGACCTATATTATCATACTTTGTTGTTTTTCCTCAATTATTTTGTTTGAATTTTTGGTTATTCAGCCATTTTCGTGCTATATTTATGAAACTAACAAAATTGATCAAATGATTACGAAAAAAACGAAAAACAAAACAGAAGAATTTGAAAGTTTATACACACTGTTTTTCTTATAATTACCCCCTTGCATTTTATCAAGATACATTATCAACACCATGTGTAGCACATCTGTCCCACAATAATAAAGCTATTTATATATTTTTGATCAAATATATTTTCTTGAAGTTTTGGCACGATCTGTGACAGCAAGAAAATAGTAAAGTACTTTGAAAATGTGTACACACTGTCAGCCGAAAAGTATGATTTTGATTATTAACCAAAAATAGCAAAAGCGTTTTATTTTTTTATCATTCTACTATTGTTGCATTGAATTTTTATTTTCTGACAACACTGGCCATATCGTCACGCCTTCGTAACTGGGATGTTGAGTAACGAGGAGACGCCTTGGCAATATCAACGCTTAGGCAACCAGAATTACGCGACCGTGTATGAAGCATGGTCGCCATCTAGATAACTTCGATCAAAGTTCGCGATCGCTCTGGAAGGCCCCTGGAATTCATCGATAGATGTTAAATACTCGACAAGATGGCGGAAGTTGGCGATCAGTCGACAGTAGACAGCGGGCGATAAGTTACCAAGAGCGCAGAACGCGATAATCCAGTAAATGATTATAAACTTGTCATAAGAGTGTAGAGCAACAAATTATACTTAAAATTGTAAAAACTGTGTTTTTATACGTTATACCAAATGCATGCTTTAAAGACAGTACGAATACCAGATTAGAATTATTTTGTGAAATATCAATAAACTTTTTCGTGGGCACTTTTTAGGCACTCTATGATGATGTATTTAAATTTTGTGAAGGACGTTTCGTTTTTGAGAAACTATCCTCAACTTCATTTTTTATATGGTCCGAAAAAAGTACATCCTATATCTAATAGCATTTTATTATACGAATTAATTAATTCATTCATATATTATATTTATTTTCTTGGTTATAAGAAAAAATGCGTTTTTTTCTGATATTTTTCACTGAATATTATTGAATATTGTTAATATTGCCAGGCGGTCATTTTAGCCATGGAGTAAAGTTCGACATGCTGATGGGCTACATTTGTGCTATTAAAAATAGTACAAGCCCATCTGAGTCAATTTTACTATAGGAACTACTGTCCGAAAATTAGCCGTTTTTGAATTATACTAATTTTCAAGATTTTATAAAATTAACGTCCTTTATACGTTAACCAAGTCATAAAACTTGAAAAATTGGGTGTATTTGATTTTTTTGTTGGTTTTACAATAAAAATATTCTAAAATAC